TCTAGGAGGTCTTACAGAGGTCTTAAAGATGCTGTTGCTGCTTTTTCATTGCATAGCTGTCTGCACTGTGCCCCTCTGGCATTACTTTATAAAGACAAAGCAGCAAATTCATCACCTGAATCGTTGATTCTCTCCTAGGTGACTGTTTGCACCAGCCGAGGTGCCTGGGTGCTCAGCCGTGTGTTTGACCATGGCTACCCATGGGACATGGTTTTCAATACTCGCCTTATGAGCCTGATCAGAAACAGTCTCCCTGGGCCCCTTTCATGGGGGTTGATTAACTACAGCGTGAACCAGCGGTTCAATCACGAAAACTATGGCCTTCAACCAGAGAAAAGGTACTTCTTGGTGGCTCCCATCCCAGGTGGTGTCACAGGGCTTGTGCTGTGGGCAGGGAGATCTCCAGCAACCAGTATCAACCAATGCAGCAACCAACACCCAGACTGGGATGATCTTCAGTGGGGATTTTGTAGCCCAGCAGGACAAAATAAGCTGTGCTGCAAGATGGAGCACACTGGAAAAGCCCAGGAAGGACCAGAAGAGTTTCCCTCATGAGGCTCCCTGGGAAAAGATGAGGAGGGAGGATTAGAGCATGGGTCAGCTCTGAAAAGAGGTGGTTTAAAGAGTAATTGAGTGAATGGAGGAAGAATGCATATGTCCAAGAGTCACTCAGGCTGTGGGACAGGGTGACATTGGTGTAACGTTGAAACATGTCAGTATTTGGAGAAGAGGGAGTCAGAGCTGTTTGCTCAGAGCAAGTGACATCAGGAGGTGGTATGGCTGGAGGGCCCGGGGAGGGAGCAGGGACACTGGCAGGGGCTGGTTGTGGTCTGCAATGCTCAGAGCCCCCTCGGCTCTTCCACAGTTGCCTGGTGCGTGAACCCGTGCTGAACGATGACCTTCCGAGCTACATCCTGACGGGGAGGATCACCATCAAGCCGGGCGTGAAGGAGTTCAAGGACAACTCGGTTGTTTTCCACAATTGCCCTGAGGAGGAGCCCATAGATATTGTCATCTTCTGCACAGGCTACAATGTCTCCTTCCCATTCCTAGAAGAAGCAGTCATCAAGGTGGAAAACAAGCACGCATCCCTCTACAAATATGTGTTCCCAACCAACCTGCAGAAGCCTACCCTGGCAGTCCTTGGGCTGATCAAGCCATTAGGAGCCATCATGCCCGTGACAGAGATGCAAGCACGTTGGGTGACCCGTGTCTTCAAAGGTAGGAGAGCTAACGTGACCTCTCCTGTGTACCAAAACGGAGTTCAGACTGGACAGGTCTTGTCCCCACCAAAAGGGATTTCAGTCCTTGGAAAACCCCAGAGCTAAGAAGCTCAATTCAAAATGGTCAAAGTAGCATTTCTAGGGCTCAGACTTCCCAAGTTATTTCACTTCAGTTGAGCTACAGCAACATGAGTGTGTGCTTGGTCCAAGCTACATGCAAGTTCATGACATCTACCTTAAATCACTTTTTTTTCTCCCATTAAGCCAATGCTTTTAAGCTAAAGCTTTGTACCCCGCCTGCTGCAAGCCAAGAGCATGCGCTCCGTTCCTTACTGTGAATCAGCTCATGTGCAATCCTGCACCTGAGCCTGAAAACCACAGTCTAAACTAGGTTGTTAAGACAGTATCTTCTCTCTAAAATATTTTATAAGTCAGAGCACAGAGATGGATATGTAAACCTGGATGAATAAATAAGAGTTGTCTTAAAGATACTGTGATGGATCCATCCTGGCAGAATTTGCTACTCTTTAAGAGACAGGCTGGTCTGTCCACTATGACTCCAGAGAAGGGTCCCATTGCCCCACAAAAGAGGAATTTTTTGTAATTATTGGGGTGAGGAAAGAAACCTACTGTATGTGGGTATTTTAATAATAATAACAACAACAACAACAACAACAACAGCAACAACAACAACAACAGCAACAACAACAACAACAACAACAACAACAACAACAACAACAATAATAATAATAATAATAATAATAATAATAATAATAATAATAATAATAATAATAATAATCTCTCACTGGTCTGGTGTGGAGGGCTGCATCAAGGCTCCTCCACAGAGCTGGGGAAGCTCTGGGGTTTCTCGTTGGGATGATCCTCTCTGGGGCTTGCACAGCTCATCTCACCCCACATCATCGGCCTGTGCCCTGACAGCACAAATCTGTAAGAGCAGGAAAAAGTGTAGGTGACTTTATACCACCATGGAGGGCTGGTCTCTGGCAGAATTGCCACTGCCAAGCTTCCCATATTTTGCATTGCTGAATGAGTTCCCAAGTTCCATCAGGAGTTGAACTCTGCAGGACACTCTCCTCTCTTCTAGGCTTGTGTTGGTTGCCTCCTCAGTCTGTCATGGAGAAGGAAGTAAATGAGAAGAAGAAAAACCAAGTGCGAAGGTAAGCCCCGGAGCCCTGAAGGTTTTTTGGTGGGCTAAAAAGCTCCTGGAGTTTGGGGGGGTGGGGGGGCAGCAACACAGCTCACACTCTGCGGCTGCTCCTGCTCATATCATGGAGGTGAGTGGGGGATGCCCAGATCCAGTCACCTCCTTATTCACTTGCACTGAGCCAACATAACATTTGATTTGATGCTGATATTTTGCCTGTTGATGTCAGGAAGAAATTAATTCAGGGTAGTCAAAACTAAAGCTTTTTTGGTAGTTGGGGAAGTGTGCCAGGGTCCCCAGAAACTGAGAGATAAAATGGCAGGGAAATTAATGGTAATAAATGCAGAGTAATTCAGCAGGGGGAAAAAAAAAAACAACCCAAGGTATACACACAAATCGTCTCACCTCTCAGCATGGAGATCTGACTCACTGTGAATAGGTGTCTAAGTCCACCAGCATGCAGCTCACAGGCAGGCAAAAGATCACATCAAAGGCTAAGAAATATTAGGAAATGAATGAGATAAAACCAGGAAACTAGGCAGTATGTTAATCCACAGTTCACCTAGATTGCTACAGTAGAAAAGGTATAGAAGAGTGAAAGAGAATTGCACAGAACAGTTGCTGTACAATAAAAGGCTAAACACAGTTGGCTTTTTTTCAGCCAACCAAAGGTGAGACATGAAGCTGTGAATTCTGCAGAGAAGGTGAACTGAAAGCAGTTCCCCAATTCACCATGCATTTTTGCAGTACTCGGCAGAAATGAATGAGTGCTGCCTTTTTCATGATGCATGTGACTTCTCTGCAGAGAGGAAAGGGAAACTAGTTTTTAAAAACAAACCAAACCAAACCAATCCAAAACTGATTTGACAAAGTCTTTTAGAAAAGGTCCATCAAAGTGAAGAGAGGGGGTCCAGGTACAACTTGCGGGTGATCAAATGAAGGACCAACTGATGCACGTGAGGAAAGTGTGTACCAGAACCAACATCACTTCAAATGTGCTGGGTCACAGGCAGGATTTGGGCCCGGACAGACCCTGGTTCCCACTGCACGTACGCCCAGTCCTTTCCTAAGAGGAACCCAGTTGCATTCAGATGCAATAACAACGCAGATGAGGAGGATCTGACTTACAGTTCCTCTCAGCCCCACTGACGCCAATCCTTCTCCCACCTCTTCTTCTTCTCCAATCCATGAAGGTTCGGTCTGTCCTTTGACGAAGTCCTCAAAACTGATTGCCTGGTCTACATGGATGAGCTCGCCTCCTTCATCGGCGCCAAGCCCAGCGTGCTGGGGCTGCTCTGCAGAGACCCCCAGCTAGCTCTCACCATCTTCTTCGGCCCCTGCACCCCCTACCAGTACCGGCTGGGGGGCCCCGGGAGCTGGAAGGGAGCACGCCAGGCCATCCTCACCCAATGGGACCGGACCCTGAAGCCCACAAGAACACGAGTCCCTGCCCGCTCTTCTAGCCCCTGTCTTTCTCTCCTGACTGTGGTGGGGGTTATCCTGCTCCTGGCTGCCCTGATTTTTGGTTTCCAGTAGATTTTAGAGCCTGCTTAGGTTTTTTTTTTTTTTTTTTTTCTTGTCCTTAGGGATGCTATCTCAGGTCAGACAGTTCCGCAGAGTGTCACGGGACAGGGGGAAAGGGATTTCAGCAGATCGCAAGAACTTTAACCAGCAGCACAAAGCTTTCTCTGCTCCAGCTCACCACCAAGCACAGCTTTGCAGACCTGATTAGCTGGGGATGGCAGCCTCCCCGCAGCATTTCTTGCCCCTCTGCTGCTCTCCAGCCTGCTGCCGTGAGCAGAGCACAGCTGTGTGGCATGGCCGTGCCTGGACCACGCTGGCCAGGATGCAGTGAGGACAAGACTCGAAAAATGGCTTTGGGTGTCACAGATGGAAAGGAGCATTGGTGCCCAGTTCTGCCCCAAATAACCCAGGAACTGGGGTCTTTGGTCCAGCAAGGGGTTATCTGAGCTGGGTGATGCAGGTCAGGTTATCTCTTCTTCCAACGTTAAACCCTATGACCCAAAAATCCCAGTTTGAGTTGAACTGGCGGATCTTTCGAGCACAAGGGCCCTGGCTGCGGTGGTTTGTTACCCCTGAGACTGGGGCTGGTACCCCGTGGGGCTGAGCACTCCCAGCTTGGCTCCTCTGCAGACAATCCTGGGGTTTCCTTTTGTGCATAGAGAGGCTTTCAATCAATAAAATCTCATCAGCTGTGGCAGGAGCATGCTGCAGACTGCTGCCTTGTCTCCTCGTGTGCATGGGAAGAGCTGGGGGGGGTCCCTCATCTGGGCTGGGGTTGTGCCACCAGGTGCCATGGGCAACCCGCAAGCCTGGGGCTGCAAGGGCTTTCATCGACCACCAAAAATTAGGCTGCACTGTGCACCACGTCCCCCATCCATGCCGTCTGCTGGCATGTGGGCGGAGAGAGTGTGTCTCACTGACTTCCCAGGGATGTCAAGTGAATGCCTGTCCAGCGCAGGCAGCACACGGGGGGGACAGATCAGGACAACCCCAAGCTGCTGTCAGGGCCAGGGCAGCAGCGAGCTGCAGTGTGGGAGACCTTGCAAGTGAAGCTCCCTTGGGGTTATGGTCCGGATTTCCACCCAGCACCACTGCAGGGAGGATGAGAACTTTCTGCCAGCACATTTAAGCACAGCAGAGCAGGGGAACGTGGGTGTAAAGGTCGGTGGTGCAAGAGCCGTGGCGAGCTGCCCGGACTTCAGCCTTTCCTTTAAATCTGTGGCTAGAGAAACTGGAAGCAAAGTTCGGCCGAAGCCTGAGCAGCGAAGGCACAGTTCTGCCTCTCAAGGTTTGCTCCTCGCTTCTCTCCAGCTGGGTTTTGCAGGCTTTAAAAGCGGGCAGCCAGCTCTCCAGGGTTTTGGTGTTTGCCGCCGGCTTCACCTCGCTGCTGGTTGGGGGGAGAGGGGGTGTCACGGGGACCCTCCGGAGCAAAGCTGTCTGTAGGCAGCACTGGAAAAGAGGGGTGACTTTAGTGGTCCAGGCATGTCGCTACCCTTTCCCGAAGCCGAGGGAGACTGGAAACAGGGGGTGGGCAAGTTTTGATTTGTCCTGTCCTGTTCCTGCAGATGAAGGAGTGGCTTAGGCTGTGCTTGTGGATGCAGAGGGATTTTTTGTAACTCCCTCATTTTTTTTCCCTGGCTTTCTGCAGTTTCCTCCGGTTCCTGCTTACAATAACTTACATTTTGACACAAAACAGGTAGAAAAAAATGTTAGAAATGATTCTTTCTTCAGACTATGCAGTAGCAGTGTTTGTTATCTAATCAAAGTTCATGTGGGTTTATTTTTTCCCTAGTTTCTTTGTTTTCCAGTCAAGCTCAGTGTGGCTCAGTTTACACACCCCAAGCTGTGAATTCCTCCCATTTATACCCTGCGTTTCCTGGGTTTCTTACCTTTTATATATTCTATAATCCCAGCTGCACTTTCGCGGTGCTAACTTCTGAATCGCTGCACTGTACTCCTGCTCAGTCAGGCATCACTTTTTTTTAAAAAAACCTTTATGTTTTTGAGAGAGTGCCCTTTAATAGGAAATTTGAAAGGAAATTTGAAAGGAAAGCATGAAAACAAGCCAGTTTAGCTGAAATTGTTTCTTGAAAAGGTTTCAGGAGGATCGCTTTGTGCATGCAGAAGCAGATAGCTGGGATCCCCTTCCCCTTTTTTGCATGTCCTGGTTTTGCCAGGATAGGGAATAAATAGAAGCAACATTGCAGTGAGGTCTAAAAGTGCTTCCTCTTCCCCTGCCTGCAGGAGGGGAATCGCTGGGCCCTCAGTGTGGGTTTAGCACAGCAGGAAGAGTAATGAGCTGTCTGTTACGCTCGAGTCAGGAGCTGGCAACAGCTTTTTTCAAGGACAGTTTTCCTCCGTGGACACCTTCAACCAGAGAAGACCAGGGGTGTTTTTCTGGGGCTGAGAAGAAGGGACTGGTGTTTTGGCTAATCCCTGGGCTATTTTATTTCCAGTTGCTTGCACGCTGGCCCGTGGCCTGCTGCAGGACAGCATGGTGCGGCGTGTGGCCGTTATCGGGGCCGGTGCCGGTGGGTTGGCCTCTGTCAAGTGCTGCCTGGATGAGGGGCTGGAGCCCACCTGCTTCGAAAGGAGTGAGGACATCGGGGGGCTCTGGCGCTACACGGTCAGTGGGCTCTACCTGCATGGGGAGAATTGTCCCTGGGTTTTTCCCCTCCCTCAGATGCCCTTTGCCTGCAGCAAAGAGGAGAGGGTGGCCATGCCCTCAGGGACTGTCCCTGTGCCAGGCTTGGGGCTCTCCCTGACCTCAATGTGGAGAAGATGGAGAGAGCAGAAGCCACGGTCACCAGGTGCTAATCCTGGTTTATTCCTTGTACCCGAATACAAGGAGGAAAAATACTCACATGCTCTGGGGGGAGAAAGTCCTTCCCCACACACCTGTAAATGGCACTGCTGGCTTCATACAGGACTCCACGGACAGTGGGAGGGTCAGCGTGTACCGTTCGGTCATCACCAACACCTCCAAGGAGATGTCCTGCTTCAGCGACTTCCCCTGCCCGGAGGATTTTCCCAGTTTCCTACCCCACAGCCTCCTCCTGGAGTACTTTCGGATGTACGCCCGGCACTTCAACCTCCTGCGGCACATACGCTTCAAGGTGAGCAGGGTCCCCCGATGCCATCAGTGGCTGCAAGTACCAGGGCATCACCCAGGTGGGATGGGACAATGCTGGGTGCGATCTCACAAGGACCACGTGCCTTTCGCATCCTGAACGCAGCCTTTTTGGCTCCGTGTTTTAAATTAGGCTGCTCGAACACGGGCTGCCTGGTGCATCTCCCCTCTCAATGCCGTCACCAGGGGAAAGGTGCAGGGTGGGATTTAACAGCTTCAGTGGTGAACATGCAGCTCCCCAGCGACCCAGCCTGCCTCTGGCAGCCCCAGGCCTTTGCAGGCAGGTCCTCTCCAAAATGCGGCGCAGTCCCAGACTGCTCTTTTATTGGGCTTTGGTGCAAGACAACAGCTCTCAGCGTGAAGAAGCACCCGGATTTTACCACCTCGGGCCAGTGGGAAGTGGTCACTGAGACCGACGGTGTTCAGGAGTCACACATCTTCGATGCTGTCATGGTTTGCACCGGCCACTACCAGGAGCCCTACCTACCATTGGCTTCTTTCCCAGGTAAGTCCTGCCTTGGCAGCAAGGTGGGCTGGGGCTGCCCCCCAGGGTTCCATGGGTTCCATGAGGCACCCATGGGTGCCTCAGCTGCATTTTCTTCTGCAAGCCTGCCTGCTTCACGAAACCCCTGCCTTGGGGAAGGTGGGACTCTCACCCCACGGGAATGGCAGAGGGCATTGCTGGGAATGGGAAAAACACCTCGTAAAGATGCAGCCAGGCTCTTGCATGAGAATTTGCAAAGCAGGACCAAGCTGAGGAGGTGCAGGAGGGTGGCATCACCCAGGGAACCAAGACCTCCATGGGATTCTCAGCTGCAAGCAGAGGTGGGAGGTGGAGGGTTGGGGGTCGCAAGAGGGTCTGCGCACGAGGCTGGGGCGAGCAAATGTATCTGGCAGTAGGAGAAGCTCCCTCCTCTCTGCCTAGGTATCAACACTCGTTTCAAAGGCCAGTACCTCCACAGCCGGGAATACAAAGACGTGGAGGCTTTCCGGGGCAAGCGGGTCCTCGTGGTCGGCATTGGCAACACCGGTGGCGACCTCTCCGTGGAGCTGAGCCGCGTGGCTGCGAAGGTACAGCTCCACAGCCATGCTGAGCCCGGCCAGGGACCACGAGAGCTGGTGGCCTGGGGTATGCGCAGGAAGCTTTGCCTCACTGGCTTTCTCAATAAATAGCACCTCAAATTGAGGGCAATTGAAGAATCTCTGCAATTCCTGGAGAGTTTGGGCCACCTGAGGAGTGGCCATTCAGCAGCTGTGGGAACTTTGCAGAAGTCACCACGGTTCATCTGGATGCTGTCTCCTTCCCTCGGGATAACCCTCTCGGCTCCCAAGTGCAGGAGATGGGATTTGCCGTTCAGGAAGGGCAAAATTGGCAGCAAGATGTTTGAGCAGGAGGCTGAGACCTGCCTTCTCCCCCCAGGTGTTCCTCAGTGCCAGGAGCAGCACGTGGGTGTTCAGCCGGGTCTCGGACCATGGCTTCCCCTTGGACATGGTCCGCACCACTCGCTTCAACCACTTTCTGGATTGGCTTCTCCCATCAGCCCTCATGAAGAGGATCGGGTTTTGGAAGTGCAATTCGTGGTTTAATCACGTGAACTATGGCTTGGCTTCCATCAAAAGGTGTTTTTTCTGACTATTTGGCTGGTTGTTCAGGGGGTTTTAATGGCATGAAATGCTCTATTTTTAATTTCAGGTGATATTTGTGGAATAGCAAACCACTGGAGGGGAGCTCTTGCCACAAAAGACATTTCAGGTCCCTCCCAGATGCTAACATTTCTGTCCTCTTTTCTACCTGCAAGCTCCAGCTTTAAGATAATCGTCAATGAAGAGCTGCCATTTTGCCTCCTCTCTGGGACCATTGTGTTGAAGCCAAATGTGAAGGAGTTCACCGAAAGCTCTGCTGTTTTTGAAGATGGGACAACCGAAGAAAACATCGACGTGGTGCTCTTCGCCACAGGCTACATCTTCTCATTTCCCTTCCTTGAAGACTCAGTTCGCAGCCTCTTTGACGATAACCGTTCCCTCTATAAACGTATCTTCCCTCCCCAGCTGGAAAAGCCGACACTGGCCATTATTGGCTTAGTCCAGCTGACTGGCTCTGTGATGGTGGGAGCAGAAATGCAGGCTCGCTGGGTGACAGGGATCTTTGCAGGTGGGAGACAGGGTGCAAGGGTGGGGGGATCTGCTGGGGTGGGAAGTTTGGGGCGGCCTGACCTGCCGTCCACAGAGCCTAGGGCATATTTTGGCTCCTGACGCAGTAGCTGTGGTGGCTGTGGGCATTAGTAGCATCATAGCCTCTGTCCCTCAACTGCATCCCCATATCCCTGCTACCCCATGCACACTGCCATAACTAGCAAACCTGAACGCTCTCAGTAAAGGGGCTGGCAGCACAGGAAGGGGGTGAGATTTTCAGCTTAAGGTTCTGCTGGAGGTGTCTGGTTTCTCTGTTCTCAGGCTGGAACAAGCTCCCTCCCACCAGCAGGATGATGGCTGATGTTTTGAAGAAAAAGCCGCCGGTCAAAAGGTGCATGATGCTCCTGTGCTCTGGGTGTGATTGGCACCATGTACCAGGATAACCCCAGGGAAAGGGGGGCCCTATGGCAGTCATGGGAGGGACTCGCCTAGGACACTCAACTGTTCTTGGATGCATTTATTCCCTCACCACTCTTAGTGAGGTGGGGAAATGCTGTTGTGGCTGCTTTACAGATGACTGACCAAGACACCAAGGGCATAACGCTCTGGAGCAGCTTATGGCAAAACCCAGGACGTGCAGGTCGCCTCCGCCAGGCCTCCAAGCAATGTCCTTATTCCCAGCGTGTCAAGATGGAGGTTTGGTTTCCTCCAGACTAAGGGTGCCATCTCGTGGCTTCTCCCTCCCAAATCCAGGCAGTGGGGAGCATTAGGGTCAGGGCGAAGCTCCATCCAGAGACCCCACTGGAACCAGGCGATGTGGGTAGGGGACAGTTTGGTGGCAGTTTTTGACCAAGCAAGATGAGTATTAGACAAGTCTTGAACTTTTCCATTGTGTACGTGGGAGCTAACATCCTGGCCTTGTTGGCACTGGGATTTTACAGGAGGTTGAGACGTTTCCTCAAGGCTGTGGGACAGCTGATGGTGGGCATGCTGCCTTGCAGCAGCTTTTAGGAGCAAGGAGGGGACCTCGGGCCAGGTGGGGTGCAGGCTGGGTTAGATCTGCCAGCAAGGCAGAGCTGGCTGATAGGACACGAAAATCTGGGACAAAACAGAGCCACAGAGTTTGTCACCGGGAGCCACAGTGACTGCAGACGCAATGCTGTTACACAGAAATATGGGAGTCTGAGGTGCAGTGGAGACAAACCCGAGGCTGTACCAAATTTACTGAAGCAGATTCAGCACAAATCCTGCTGCCTGCGAGAGAGATGAGACCTCAAGCAGAAAAATCCTGGAGGTCCTTCCCAGCATGGGAAGTTTCCTACACCTCCCAGTTTTTCCCAGTCCCCTTGGCAGTCTTATCTGTGAATGTTTACTCCTTTACCTCTCAAAGTCAGCCAGATCCACACCTGTGAACCTCAGGGAAGGACATAGCGTGGGTATTTGAGCATTACAAAAATGTTAGTATTCTGCTAGATCTGTTTTTGAGGCCACAACTAGGTTGCAGACAAAACAAGCTTCTGCCTATTCCCTGCCCCAAGTAACTGCTGGGGACCAACCCCACAGAGGCTCTTTCAGTGCCTTTAGGTTTTTCTGGGGCTGAGGGAGCTCGGTGCCAGAGACCGGAGCTCAGCTGATGTCTGAGCCTAGAGCCTTTGCTTTCCGTGGAGCTTGGAACAGAGGTGGGATGATGCTGTTTGATTTTGTCTCTTTTATGTCCCATTGAAGGAATCCATCCGAGAGGGAGAACCTGAAGATGAGTTTTATCAGCTACACTGATGAAATTGCTTCGTGTGCTGGCGTGAAGCCCAACGTGCTGAAGCTGTTCCTGACGGACCCCCGGCTGGCCCTGGCCATCTTCTTTGGTCCCTGCACACCTTACCAGTACCGACTGGTGGGACGGGGGAAGTGGAGCGGGGCCAGAGAGGCCATCCTGACGCAGTGGCAGCGGACATTGAAGCCCTTGAGAACTCGGGTGGTGGATGACTCCTCCGATGGCTGGCACTGGATGTTCTTCCTGGCTCTGCCACTGGTTCTCACGGCAGGCTTCCTCCTTTCTAAATACCCCCGGCCAGGCTGGAGCCCCCAGGCAGGTCTCCACTTGTAGAAGAAACCTGGTGAGACCCAATTCCACATGAGCTGGGGACGGTGCGAAGCTGTGCTGCTGCCAGGTGTCCAGCCTCCTTCTCCACACGTTTCACGCCCACCAAGGGCCATATGGAACATTTACCCCAAACCTGCCCGCGTTGCACCAGCACCAGGCTGGATCTCCAGAGGGCTTTTGGGAAGAGCCATTCTGGGATGGGCTGGTGTGCACAGGGCCAGCCTTCCTCCCCCTCTGCTCTCCCCGAGCTTCCCCCATAAAATTTCAGGAAGACCCACAACAGGTTGAGATTTTCTGAAACACTGACCGCAGAGATCTTTGTATGTGTCTGGTAACTTTTGGGACTTGAAGTAGAGAGCCACAAATAAACCTCACGGATTTGGCCTTCCCTGATGGCTTTATGAATAGTTTGTTATCAGGGAGGGGGGGGTTCCAGTGCTGCGAGCTGTGGCAGAGAGGAGAGCCCTGCCCTAAGAAATAACGCACGCAGCGACAAATCCCAGTGAGCGACCGTCCCCGCCATCGCCTGAGCAGCCCGAGGATTGCACGGAACCCACGAGGGGAAGGCAGAGCCTCCCCACGTACCCGCGGGTGCCTTCACCCGGGGATTTTGCCGCAAAACCCAGCCGGCCGCGGCCTCGGCGGACTGGGCCCCGCCCGCCACCCCCGCGCCGCCAGGGGGCGCGCCGGAGCAACCGGCGCCGCGCGCCCGCCCGACTGCGGCACGGCGGGGCCACGTGAGCGGCTGCGCTGTGGCCGGGGCGGGGGGGGGGGGGGAGGGGGGGGGGAGCGGGGGCGGGGCCGGCGGTGCGGGTGCGCGCGCGCGCGGCGCGGTGAGGTCAGACGTCGTTGGCGCCGGCTTGGCCGCCCGCCATCTTGGCCCCCTCGCTGGAAGCGGCGGAGGCGGTCGGCGCCGGGAGCGGCAGCGGCCTCGCCGTAGTCCGTGGAGCCCCCGGGGCGGCGGCGGCGGCGGGGGGGGGGGGGAAGGAAAGGAAGGGAAAGGAGTAGAAGCCGTGAGCGCCGGCCCGCCGCGCTGCGAGCCAGGTAAGCGGGCGGCGGCGATCTTCCGCTGCGGCGTCCCGTGGGGCCGGCGCCGGGAGGGAGCGGGCGAGCGGCCTGCGCCGCATGGCCCCGGGCGGGGGCGGCTTCCGCCCGGCCTGGCGGCGGCGGCGGCGGGGAAGCGGGGAACGAGGGCAGCCCCCGGGGGGGCCGGCACCCCGCCGCCCGCCGCGGAGGGAGGGCGGCGCGGCGCTTGGGCCCGCGGCGGGAGGGCGAGCGGGCCGGGCTCCCCCCCGCACCGCACCGCATCGCCGCCCGGGGCCGGCCGCGCTCCGCGCCGGGCCTCTCCCCGGGGGCGGCTGCAGCGGGGGCGGCTGCGGGCCGCGCTGGCGGGTGCGCTGCTTTCTTCTCCCGCTCCCCCTGCTGCCCCCCCCCCCCCCCCCCCCCCCCCCCCCCCCCCCCCCCCCCCCGCTCCCTTTCTCCCCCTCCTCCCCCTCCCACCTTTCTTTTTTAGCGGTTCCAGGTCTCTCTCTCTCTTTCTCGGGAGATTACTCGGGAAACGTGCTGTCCCCTTCGTGCGTTGGCGCTCACTTTGTGGCTGTGATTCTTAAGAAGCGCGGGGGGGAGGGGAGCCTTTTCTTACGGGATGCTGGAGGCACATGCAAGGCACGGCGCTTTGGTTTGTTGACTCTGAAATATTCACCCACCGTTCTTGAGTTGTACAGTAAAAGGCTGTTCTTGCGTTGTTTGATGTAGGACTGAGTGAAGCACTGTTCGGAAAGGTATTGTTTCTCCTCCTAGGGACAGGATTTGTAAGGGTGGGGTGAGCAGAGTCAGGGATGCTCCTATTGATAACCTTAAAGGATGGTAAGAGCATAGTTAGATGACACGGCTAAAATTCAGGTAGTTAGTCTGCAGTGGGTACAGTGCGGTGGGCATAATGGGAGCCATCAGAGAGGGATGCAGGAATTGAAAATCTTGGGGCTAAAGATGGCCCAGATAGTTTCCGGTTCAGGCCCCTGTTTTGCGGAGGGGGAGCATGCATGAGAGCGTGGTCCTGGGCATTCAGTGGAGCATTTCGGGGTTTTCTGCTTCTTTTTGTGTCTCACACATATGTTTTATAAGCTTGTTCCTTTGTGAAAGGTCTTGAACTCTGAATCATTGAGGAAGGACCGTTTTTCCTTGTCGCTGTCTGATTACTGGGGTCAAATGGGTATGTTAGTAGAAACTTAGCATTATTTCCAACAGAAGAAACAGGACTGTAATTTTTAATAGCTTTGTTTCTTCTGCAATGAGGCGTCAGGCCTACCCGTTGTCTAGTCTTAAGAGCTCTGCTCAGACAAGAAACGGCTTTTGAATGGGGGAGGAAACAGGACATGATCTCATTTGTCTGTCAGTGAGAAACAAAAGGATTACCGTTTACTACCGACTGCCAGGAGGTAAATGGCTGTCAATTTTCTTTGAATTATGTAGTCTAGAGAATTTTTCTTCAACATTATTTTTGGGGTCTTTTAGTGCAACTCTGCTACAGTCTTCTTGGGACTAAGGAATCTCAAAGTTTTGGGAGCTCTTTGAACTTGCTGAATGTTCAGTGAAAAGTCAATTTGTCCCTCAGAATATTGTGTCCAGTGCCTGAGGAGTATGATGACCACTTTGGTGGAGATGTGTGCCTCAGAGATGGCTGTTTAAACTGAAGTGAGAATTTAGTTCTCTCATAGGTCAGTGCTTGTGTGTGTGGACTAGGATTATGACCTCTGTGTGTGTCTCTGTCACGTAGAACTCTGATTTAGTGTGTATATGTTTTCCCTGCATAAAGCTTATTGCTTTGATAAGTAATAGCTTGTAAAATATGTATAAATCAATACACAGTCACTTCTGTGAGTCTTGCTAATATAAATGTTCTGTGTATTTGCAGTTTAGAAGCAGTTTATAATTTCTTTACTCTCATTTAGACTTCATAGCAGGAAACCTACCTTTTGGTAGAGCAAAACAGTTACATCAGTCCACGGTTTTAGTTTGGGTTGCTGGAGTCCTTGTTCGATGATGCAGATTTATGATAATGTATCTTCTGTGGGTTCTGTTTCCCCACATCCTGAAGTCTGCTAGGGAAAGTGAAACAGTCCACAACGAGCAAGAAGAGGATGATGCAGTTCAGAAGGGAGCACTCGTGTAGGTCTTGTTCTGTCTGAATGAATGCTGTATGCCAATTAAGAGAAAGAATATAAGTCAAAGCAAGTGTGTATGTTGTATGGGGTTGACTTCAGCCAGGTGTCCTAGGTTACTGAAAGTGCAAGCCCTTTGTTCCAGAATATTTTCCAGGCTAACTAACAGGAGTGATGTGTAAATGGAGGGTGGGTGGAAATTGTAGTCTAAATATACCATATAAGGGTGGTGTGGATAAGAGGCTTAGATGTGGAGATAAAAAGAAAAAGATAGCTCTTGCAGAAGGATTAAACCCTTGCATAGCATGCTCTTGCAGAGGAATAAACTCTTGTGTAATGTATTGGAGATGTAAGCGAATGAAAAAACATTCCTCTTCCTTCTCTTGAAGAAAGAGTGGTACATCTTCAGAGGCCATATACAGTAATGGAGAGGTTGGGGGGGGGAACCCCAAACTCCGCCCTGAAAATGCACCACCTTTCCACTAGTTGGGTATGGATGTTGGGCTTGTAATGACGGGACTGCCAGTGGTGTTTTACTGGTAGAACCAGTTGTTCATCTTCTGCAGGAAATTTTTTCTTCGCTGGGCTTCATGCCCTCATTTTTTTTGGGGGGGTCTGGGTTTCACAAAACCGTGTAGAAACTTCTCATGGTTTAAAAGCAGGTGTAAAAATAAAAGCTGAGGTTCGTGTGAGGAGATGGGAGGAAATAATAATGTGTGTGTGTTGATGAAATGAAAACAGAGTGCACAGAAGTCTTTAAAAAATGCATAAAGAGCAGAGGAAGATGAAGTCCTAATAAAAATCAGATGAAGACAGCTTTTATGTCTATGAAGAACAGGCTAACAGAAATAGACTGTTTTTATTACAAATACCTCAACCATTACATAACATTCTAACTAAATGCTAACGAACTAGTCTGTTACAGATTGCAAACACATATTAAAGGGAGAAGGTCTGTGTAGTTCACGTTGTTCATATTTTTATGTATCTGACACTGTCTTGATTAACAGTAAGGTTATAGTGCAGAATCAACATTATGTATCTTCAAAGTATGATGGTGATAATTTGAACTGATATGTATATGAAAACAATGTGGGGGCTACACTTTCAGGGGCTTACAGTGTCAGAGACAGGAATTACTGCGCTTTATATTCAAACACATCAAATGCACAAGTAGTGCCTGAAGAACTGTGACATCACTCAGTGCCAGGTGAGTGAGAGAAGAGGGGATCTATTAAGTATCTCTTTAAACCAATGTACATCTGATTCTTAAGTGAAATGGCAGCTTTACTTATTTCTTAGTTAGTTGCAATATAAGATGTAGTTTATCATGCTTAGAGGTACCAGATGTTTTTTTGTAGTAAAATTAGCAGTGGCTAGGTTGCCTATTTTTTGCCACACTGCTTGCTTAAGCTAGCAAATCAAACTTTCTCTGCTTAGAAAAGCAAACCTTTTCAGGCCGTCCTCATTAAATCATGTGAACAGCTATAGTTTGTTTTAAAATTAATACTTTGAAAGCATGTCACCTTAATATTCCTAGATTTGATTTTAGTGTTTGTAAATTTTAATTTATACTTTAAAATTGTGACTGTAGACTTAAACTGTACTTGCAGGAGTAATGATGTAAGTTATTACCAGCAAAAGCAACATTATTTAATTGTTTTGAATCTTCAACTAAGGTGGAAGTGCAGGAACATCTTCATTTTATTTGAGAAGTCAATGATTTTCTCCCAATTTAAGACTTGATATGCTTTCGGACTTAATATGTTTCATCTATTTCAAAGTAACCATATATTGCACTGAAGGACCTCACTGTCTTTAGATCAATGCATTGATGCTTTCATTTTGTAAAAAAATAAATTATTGTATTTACAGGGCTTGTTTTATAATAGCGTTTAGGACGGTCTTTGCTTCCTGTACAAGCATATCTAGCTGTATATATAGGTGCACAGCAGAAGTGTTCTAGTGAGTAGGAGCAATAACATTCTCTCTTGCCACTGTGTGTAAGTAGTCTGTAGGAAAGATGTGTTCTGGTAAGAAAAACTTGCCTTTGGCTCATGAAATAGCTACTTGGTTCATTTGCTGGAGTCACCTTGGTTAGGAGATGTTTCTCATGCCACAAATCAATGGATAAAGAAAAGTTTCTTGATAAGTATTTTGATAGTATGTTGAGCCTTAATTATTTACCTCCTGCATCTTGACAACAGAGTATCAAGGGACAAGTGGGAT